CGTGGTCCGTCTGGGTGGGTGGGGCTGGGCACACGGGGACCCTCGCCCGGCGCTGCGACGTGGTCCGTCTGGGTGGGTGGGGCTGGGCACACGGGGACCCTCGCCGGCGCTGCGACGTGGCCCTCTGGGTGGAGGGACTGGGAACACGGGGGACCCCTTGCCCAGCGCTGCAACATGGTCCCTCTGGGGTGGGGGGGCTGGGCACACGGGGGACCCCTCGCCCGGCGCTGCGACGTGGCCCCTCTGGGGTGGGGGGGCTGGGCACACGGGGGACCCCTCGCCCGGCGCTGCGACGTGGCCCCTCTGGGGTCTTTGCTGCTGTCCAGCACTATTGCAACCCCTGGCAGAGGGTGGGGAAGGCCCGGGACAAGGCGAAAGCAGATTTGAGGCCCCTGCCCATCTTAGCGGAGCCTTTCCAGAAGGTGGCCGTGGACATAGTGGGGCCCCTCAGCAGGGTGACCTGGTCAGGGAAGAAATACATCCTGGTGGTGGTAGATTTTGCTACGCGCTACCCCGAGGCGGTGGCCTTGTCCTCTATCGAGGCAGACACCGTGGCAGACGCACTGCTGACCATCTTCAGCAGAGTCGGGTTCCCCAAGGAGGTCCTTACAGACCAGGGGTCTAACTTCATGTCAAGCCTGCTCCAGTGCTTGTCGGAGAAGTGTGGGGTCCGACACACCTGGGACTCGGCCTACCACCCGCAGTCCAACAGGCTGGTGGAGAGGTTCAATGAGACCCCAAAGAGGATGCTGAAAACATTTATGGACCAGCACCCACAGGACTTGAACAAATACTTACCTCACCTGCTGTTCACATACCAGGAAGTGCCCCAGGAATCAACCGGGTTCTCCCCGTTCGAGTTGCTGTACGGGAGGAGGGTGAGGGACCGCTCAGCGTGTGCCCACTCATATGCAACCGGGGACCAGGTGATGCTCCTCATCCCCGTGAGGAAGAACAAACTACAGGCTGCCTGGGACGGGCCCTTTAAGGTCACCCAGCAGCTGAATGAGGTGAACGATGTGGCAGAGCTGTGTAACGGGCTCACAGCCACCGGGTGAACCATGTCAGCATGGCGAAGCCGTACTGGGACAGGGAGAATTTGGTGCTGGCGTGTGTGGCCCGTGGGAGGAGCAGGGAGAGGACCCCCTGGTGGATCTATTCCCCGAGACAGGGGCCAGCCCTTCGCCGGGATCGATTCCCCTCTCCGACCCGCCCAGCAGGCAGAGATCCGAGGGGTGCTGGGTTCCTACCAGCAGCTGTTCTCCAACCGGCCTGGGCTCCCTAACCTGGCTGTCCCCCAGGTGGAGACAGGAGCCCACCCCCTGGTAAGATGCTCCCTGTTCCGGGTCACTGGGAAAACAGCCCAGGACCTGGAGAGAGAGGTCGGGGACATGCTGGCTTTAGGGGTGATCCAGCAGTCCTCCAGCCCCTGGGCCTCTCCCGTGGTGCTGGTCCCCAAGGACGGGTCAATTCGGTTTTGTGTGAATTACCAAAGGCTTAATGCCATCACCAAGTCCGATGCCCACCCCATGCCTACGCCTGACGAGCTCCTGGACAAGCTGGGGGGGGGGCTCGTTATCTCACGACTATGGATCTCACCAAGGGCAACTGGCAAGTACCTTTGGATCCAGCTGCCCGACTGAAATCTGCTTTTATCACCTCTCTGGGGTTATACGAGTTCCTGGTCCTGCCTTTCGGCCTAAGGGGGCACCGGCCACCTCCCAGCGCCTGGTGGCCCAGTTACTCAGGGGGATGGAGAGTTTTGCCGTGGCGTATATTGATGATATCTGTGTCTTTAGCCAGACCTGGGAGGACCACGTGTCCCAGGTTAGACAAGTGCTGGGCCACCGGGTGGGGAGCGGCTGCCTAAAGCCAGGGCCGGCCCAGGTGGAGGTGATCAGAGACTGGCCGTTCCCCAGACTAAGAAGCAGGTCCAGGCTTTCATTGGGACGGCAGGGCACTACCGGAGGTT